TGTGAGCCCGTATCCTTTTAATGATTGTTACTATTGCTTTCCATTGTAAATGTTTCTTGAATTATTGATACTCCATGTTTAATGTGTTGAATTGATTGTTTGATTAGCTGTTCAGAACCTCTCTGAGCTTTTAGCTCACCCCTTTAGTTTTGTTTTCCTTAACAAGGGACGGCGAGTAGGATGAGAGCATAGACTAGCCTAGTCTAGGTCTTTTGTTTATTTTGTAATGGTTCTCGCCCTAGTGCTTGGCACGGGCTGGTTGTATGGTGAAGTGAGAACCTTTGTACATTTGATGGCTGTACTTCCTTTTGAGATAGCAATGTGTATAAGTTCCGCTTTAAGTTTGGATTGCTGCCCTATTTATTTTTGTGATTTATTCTGGATTTGATTAAGGAACGACTGAGTCCCGGCGAGAGCCGGGCAGGCGACTCACCAAACCCTTTGGTTCGCCTTAGGGGGAGGTGGGGCCGTCACACAATCCATCCAGATATACATTATCATGCAATAGGCTATACATTGTTACAAGGGTGGTTTATCAACTATTTTATTTCATGTACTACTTCATTCACGTAATTTTCAAAATTTACAACTTCTTATAAATTTTGAATCTTCCTATTCCCATTTTCTAAATTTTCTTTCATATTTTTTATTCATGAAAAGAAGTTATTTGAATTAGAGATTTTGCATTTTTGAGAATACATAATACATAAATTTTTCAATTTCAAAGAAATGATAAATATCAAACCACTTGGCATCTTTGACGATTTAATTATTGGTTAATCTGGTGAATGAATGACAAGATTTAACCAAGTTGAACACTCAAAAATTACTTAATTAGTGTTCTAAACAATAAAAAAGTATATATGCCTTTTAAGATTGTAGTTCTCTCTATTTTTTGGGTCATGTTTTGAGCATTATAATTTAAGATAGAGTTTAAAGTATCTTGGGATTATCCTGATTTGGGGCATTTCAGGCACCCATTAACTTTGCCACTTAGGCTTCCTTAAGTGTGCCATCCTAATAACAATGTACCTACATTCACACAATCTTTACATTTGCTATTTCTGCCATCCAGAGCCTCGTCTTCCTTCTCTTCTAAACTCTAACACTCTAAGGCAGCCTGCATAAATTGCAGCACCATTGCAACTCTTCACTCGACCAATTACTACTACCATCTATATTTTAATTCTCCATTTTTAGCCATTTAATCCCTACCAATTCACTAATTTTCATAGCACATTTATGCTAAAACATTAGCAAACAAAGAGATGTCGGATTAACGCCCAATATTTGTGGCAGTGGTATTGTTTGTTTCATTTGAACCTTGGCCAAATAGCAGTGGCGAGGCATAAATTTCATTTTTATACCCCCTAGTTGAACACAAAATTAGAATGTTATATTACTTTTTAAGTTTTATCAGTAATTAGTGATTAGTCTAACTTAACTGCTATTTCATCTTATGTTTGAAGTTTGTCTATGATCCGAAGATGACAATACTGTTTTTTGGGCTGAAAGAAAAAACAAAGGAAAAAGTTGGCTAACTAAATTATATTTAAACAAAAAAAGATTAAAAAAATAAGTGCAATAAACAAAAATTGTTTTTGAAAAAAAATAAAGAAAGGGAAAAAAGTTAAATGGTAAAAGTTGGGTAACTTACTCTAAACAGAAAAAAGAAAAATAATAAAAAAAGAAGGAATAGCAAATATAAAGATTGTATACATGGAGAATTATTGTTATTAGGATGGAACACTTAAAGAATCTAAGTGGCAATAAGTCATTAGGTGCCTGAAAAGTTTCAAATCAGGATTATCCTGATATCATTTAAACTCTTCAAAGTACTATTGTCAAAATTTTTATGGATGAATTTAATGTAACATACTATTTGCTTTTGTTGTATGCTTTATATCATTTAGTGATAAGTGACTTGCAATAATTGAATCAATCTTTCTGTCAAGAATGAGAATGGAGCTTAAGTTTGTGGTAGATTAAGAAAATTTCAACATGATTTATAGACCGCTCTAATACAAATTTCAAGCTCAATCCCTAATTAAGTATTTAGCAGTTTTTTTTATTAGTATAAGTAGGATGGCTCAAACTCGGGACTTCTCACTAACATTCTGTCCCTCTGAATCATCCAACTTATCCCGAATCACCCAACTTGAGGAATGAGATTGTGAAAAATTATGAAAGGAGCAAAAAAAGAGAGGGAAAGATACGGAAGAGGAAAAAGAAAAGAGAAATGAGACAGCTAACAGACTAAAGGAGAAAAGATGGAAAGATTTGTCCATAACAATTATAGCAGTACAACTTGGCTATTTAAAGATGATGTAGAGTAACTATCTCAACTACTAAAATAACATCGTCCTACTAATCTCTATCAATTACAAATCAATTATATAGTAGTCAAATCCAAATAACATAACTACATATCAATCTCATGCAGCCTAAACTCTCCTCCTCCTCGCTAACTTTCTCTTGCAAAAAAAAAAACAATTATCTTTTTCCGGAGGTTGACTAATTGGCCTCTCTCCCTTCCAAATACCAGGAAAAACTTACCAAGTTCAAAATGGATTTCAGCTTTCTCCTCGCGATAAATATATAACCACTTCCAAATATAATTACAGTCAAGGATTTCAATCAATGTTTTCAGAACCGGACCAGACCGGCCGGTTCGACCGGTCTGACCGCAAACTGGCCATGTCACCGGTCCGGTCTAATATCAAACCCGGAAGGTAATGGAAAACCGCTATGAACCGGCCGAACCATACGAACCGTTAAAACCCGTATAAACCGCGAACCGGCGGTTCTCAGATTTTCCCTCAAATTCAAAATAATAGCAAGAGTGGAGGCTGCTGAGATTCGAACACAGGTGACCGAGACCAGAATAAGGCACGCAAACCACTAAACCACAGCCGAAGGACAAGCTATTGTTGTGTGAAATTTTACTTAACTAAAAACTAAAATCAAATAAAATAAAAAAACCCTAGCATTAAGAAAGTGCAGACGGCACAGGTACATTTCATTTCAATTTCACTTCCTCCGTTTCTCCCTTTCAGCTCCTCCAGTTCTCATCTTGATTTTTTTTTAAATTTTTTCTTCATAATCCTTTCACATCCAAATATTCAAGACAAGATCGTCACGCTATTTTCTGTGGACCAAACTCCAGAGCTTTTCCATCTTGGTAAGTTTAATTTTTGCCTTTTATTGTTTTTCATAGAACAGGTATGTTGGATTATTTCTGTGATGCCGATTGTTTCTTCTTACTATTCTTATATTGATCAATTGTTTCGTCAAATTATTCATAGTTTGAGGGTGTAAATTTTTTGTTGCTACAAATTGTTGATAGCAACCAAGAATTTAGCCCTTACCCCTAATTGATTGGGTTGATTCTAAAATTAAAATTATTATAATTTGAGGATAAAAATAGAGATTTATTAATAATTTGGGATTAATATTTCATATTAATTAACGAATAATTTTCTTGAAAATACAGAGATATGTCTGACTTTGAAATAATCATGACATTTTTTACCCATTGCCACGTATCCAGAGACATGTTATTCAAGAAGAAACATTTCAGTTTTTGTAAGAGCTGCATTTGTTTATGACTTATAAATGATAGCATTTTTTACAGTTGATTTCCTTCTTCGGTTGAATATAGAAAAATTCACTACTTTTAGGAGTCATTTTCTTCGAATCAGTGTTCTTTAACGAATTAGTAGAAATCATTTTAATTGTCAAACCCAAGAAAAATTGCCTATGGTAACTTGTTTGAGCAATTTACGTCTTTGCTAATTTTTTTGTTTCCTTTATCTATTGTTTGTTCAAATTACCTAGATAATAACAGTATAACACACGCTGTATATAAATTGACTAGGTACATAATTGTCTCACTATTAGTATATATCCTTCTTGTTATTTCTTTGTTTCTTAGGAAAACAAAAAGTAAGATTCCTGTGTTTAAATTAACTAGTTTTGTGCTACTAAGAACCATTAATAGCCATGAGTTTTGTGCTACTAAGAACCATTAAAATCCCTCTACTGTGATAACTATATCTTTTTTTTTGTAAATGAAAAAATTAAATGCTAGCGGTTGAGCTATTCATGTGACTAATTGATCTTCTTATACAACTGAAAATTTGTTAATTTTATTTTCTTATTAGTACACTATATTTTACAAATGAACTAATTATGTATTTGAATTAACTATATGAAGGATAATGGATACCGGTACTGGTACGGGTAGTAATTCACAATCTTTGACTACTGGAGCTGTCAATAGTGAACAATCAGCTAGTCAAAATCATAGACAAAAGTCTGATATAGCATGAAAATATTGTTCAGTAGGTGTGAATAGTCAAGGAAGAAGAACTTTGACATGTGGGTATTGTTTTAAAGTAATTGCTGGTGGTGGTATTCATCGAATGAAACAACATTTGACAGGAGAACAAGGCAGCATTGTTCCATGTTCAAAGGTTGACCCGGCAGTTAGACATGCTATTTTAGCATCTATGAAGGAGAAGGAGCAGAAATCTAAAGAAAAAAAAGGTGATTTTGGGGTGGAAAATCCATTCGGCCACACTACTCATTCATTTGATGGCGATGAAGTTTTGGAGATTCCTTCTTCTTTAGCAAATAAGATGGGTTCATCTAGTAAAGGAAAGAGAAAGGTCACTGCATCAACAGGTATTCGTGTTTTTTTTAAAGGTGGATGTGATACTTCTCAACCAACCATTAAAGCTTGTTTGCAAAGTAAGGAAAAATGGGAAAATACGGACATGGCTATTGCTCTTTGGTTTTATGATGCTTGCATTCCTATAAATGCTGTTAATTCTCCATTTTTTCAAAAAGCTATTGATCAAATAGCATCAATGGGTCATGGTTACAAAAGTCCATCCTATCATTCTTTGAGAGTTAATTTGTTGCGAAATGCCAAGAGAGATGTGAAATTGGTTGTTGATTCTTTTAGAAGTACTTAGACAGAAACTGGTTGCACTATAATGGGTGATGGATGGAAAGACACTAGGCAAAGACCATTGATTAATTTTTTGGTTTATTGTCCTAAGGGTATTTCGTTCATTAAATCTGTGGATGCATCTGATATTGTAACAAGTGCAGAAAATTTGTGCAATTTATTTGCTGAAATTGTTGAGATGGTTGGTTCAAATAATGTGGTGCACTCAGTTACTGATAATGCTAGCAATTATAAAGCTTCTGGGTCTTTGTTAAGTGAAAGATATCCGAACATTTGTTGGTCACCGTGTGCTGCACACTGCATCAATTCGATTTTGAAAGACATTGGTGAAATGAATGATGTAAAAGCTATTGTGTCTCTTGCTTCAACGGTGACTGTTTTTATTTACAATCATAAGTTCACTTTGAATTGGTTAAGAAAGACTACAGGGTGGAAAGAAATTATTCGTCCAAGTGAAACTCGATTTGCAACTACCTTTATTGCATTAAAAAGTTTGCATGATCATAAGGATAGTTTGCAATCTTTGGTTACTAGTGGGGATTACAAACAATTTCTGAGAATAGAAAAAGGAAAAGATGTGAAGCAAATCGTTTTGGATGAAAGGTTTTGGAATAACTGTTTGATTATGGTGAGAATAATGGGTCCTATCATTCGTTTATTGCGTATTTGTTACACTGATGAAAGGCCTTCATTGGGTTATGTTTATGAAGGCATGTTTAGAGCAATAAATGGCATCAAAAGGCTGTTTAGAAATAAAGAGAGATTGTACAAGCCTTATATTGACATCATCAGTGATAGGTGGGATAGAATGTTGAGAAAAAATCTACATGCTGCCGCTTATTATTTGAATCCTGCTTTTCAATATGAGAGTGCCACATTTTGTACACATCCAAAGGTTATAAATGGCTTGCTTGATTATATTGAAACAAAAGTGGATTGGTGCAACCCTGAAAAATTATCGCAAGAGATTGGAATGTATCGGGAAAGACAAGGGAGTTTTGGGCGCAAACTTGCTATTCTTACTAGCAAATCTGATCGGCCAGGTTATTTATATTTTTTTTAATGTCTAAAAATTGTGATTTTATTCTTTATTTGATCTAATATTTTAATATGATTGCAACAGAAAATTAGTGGAAGTTATATGGTTGTGATGCTCCGAATTTGCAAAAGCTTGCAATTAGAATTTTGAGTCAAACTGCTTCTTCTTCTGGGTGTGAACGTAATTGGAGCGTTTTTGAACGCATTCACACTAAAAAAAGGAATAGGTTGGAGCACCAAAGACTTAATGATCTTGTATATGTGCACTACAATTTGCATTTGCAACATAGGTATAATTGATTTTTTACTTTATTCTTTACATTTTATTTTATAAAGTAATATTAGATTTGTAACTAATGTATTTTATTGTAGGTTTGATCACCGAAAGAGATCTTATGATCCCATTGATTATGAATCTATTGATAAAACGGAATTTTGGGTCATAGAAGAAGAACAAGATGGCGAGCTTAATTGTGATGAATTGGAGGAAGAACTCGAAGAACTTCCTAAAGATGATTCTCAACTAGTTGAAGGTTGGTTTTAATATTAAAATAAATATATTTTTAACTTGTAATATAAGGTGCTAAAAGTGCATTTTTTAATTTGAATTGTATTATAAATATGGATAAATTCTTAATTGTTCATTTATTTATTTATATAGATGATGAAAGTGAAGTTGGGGAAGATAATGATATTGATTTGGAAGCATTTCAACGTAGGCGCCTTTTGGATGATGATGAAGATAATGATTGGTAATATAACATATTAATTAGTAATGTTTAGTAGCAATTGATTCTTTTTGTGTTTGGTTGTATCTTTGTTTTTAGAAATTTTTTGACTTTTTTTTAGTTCCACCAATTAGATTTATATTTTTTGTAATAAACTTTTTAATTTTTCAGGTTAAATTGATGAAATTGTGAAGGAGGTGCTGTTGCCTTGTCATGCCAATGATGGAAATTTGTTATTCAAATTGTTTGCTTTGAATATGAGTTGAACTCTGTTATGGACTTTTTGAGAATTGTGAAAGAATGTCAACATTTATTTTATTTATTTTTGTGTTTTTGTTTGTGATAATTGATGAACATTTGGACTATATCTATTTATGTTTGTAATGAATTTATGAAAACCTGCGATGAATTATGATATTTTAGTTATATTTATCATGCCAGGTTTCATGTATAACTTTTAGAAAATTTATTATTATCTCAACTTAAATTTAATTTTAAGTTATATTGGTAAATGTATTTTAGGGATTTAAGTTATTAATAATCATATTAAATTGTATATTAGCCGTTAAGTTTCAGTGTAGACTGTAGAGTAAAGAACTATGAAGCAAAAAAAAAAAAAAAAAAAAAACGTTGAACCGTTGAACCGGCCGGTCGGACCGTGAACCGTCCCTATCTCCGGTTCGCTGGCCGGTCCGAGTTTAAAAACATTGATTTCAATCATACTTTAAAATAAGCCAAAAAAGAGAAATGGTTGAGCTATCATTTCATTTATTATATTTCTTCATATTCTGTTGAGTTGTTCTTGCCTGAGTTTAATGCTGCATGTGTCTATCGAAGCATCCTCGTAAACATTTAAGCCCAAAACCAAGGGGCTGTGTTGACAAGGTCCTCAAATGACAGACAACATAAAGCTCCGCTTAAATAAGCCTGTCAAATTGAGTTTGACATCCATTTTTTAATACCAAATTTTATATACTTTAAAAGGTCATCTAAGAGCATGGTCAACTACACAGCAAACAATATTAACAGAACAACAAAAAAGGAAATAAGCCCACTCTCAGCATTGAACAATTTAGATCACCCCCAGAATCAAGATGTCAAAGTATGATAATTTGTAGGAAAATAAAAGAACAAGTTAATGCTTCTGAGAATTTTTTCATCCTTTTTATATATACATTGTTTGAAACATTATCGGGTATGATGGGTCTTGAATAGCAATGGTGACTTTAGACCCAAAACGGACCTGCAGAAAAGGCACAAAAATGTATGACTAATTACTATTGTAGCATCATCTCATCAACAAACAGGTAGTAGCTAAACACTTTTATTCAAATACATAAATAAATATAATAAGAATTTCCAAACTTATGAAATTGAAGGATATGGATCAAAACCAAAAACTTGAAGACGAGATATATCGCTTTTTGAACCATCGGCCTTAAATATGTCATCTTCCTCAATGCTGAGGTCTACATAAAAGTTGAAGCAATTGCAGCTCTCAATTGCTGAACAGGTCAACAATATTACCATTGTTCTTTTCCTTTTGGCAAAATATTGTGTTAGTTTGAGAATCACCATTGCAATTTCAATAAAAAATAAACCTGGAAATGTCACACATTCGATTCTCTAAGCAAATTTTAAATGCTAGTGGAGAAAAATTTCCATCACATGCCAAATTTTCTTTCATTGGCTGGATGTGTGATAGACTATATGGTGGCATGAAAGAATATGTGAGATTTCATTTCGGTAGCTTCATGATCAGGGAAATGGAATGAAAAGCAGAAGCATGTCACAGGGTAACATAAAGTTCCTAGCTGGTCAAAAGCCATGGCATGTGGAAGCTACAGGAAGTAGATAAAAAAATTCTTACATACTTTTTCTCCTTGTTCAGCTCCATAACTGCTATAACCTTTTACTGTTGACAGTGCCGTGCTCTCAGGGATGATAAGAAATTACAATGGTCAAAATTAGTTTTGAAAAAGAAATACAGGCACTAAAATCAATGTTAATGGCAGAAATTTTTACATAAAGATATATCGTGGATGTGCCTAATACGGAACAGCTTTCATTAAGCAAATCAACTTTAAAGATGTTAGTTTTTGGGGACATTGTGACGACCCCACCTTACCCTAAGGCGTACCAAAGGGTTCGGCGGACCGTCTGCCCAACTCTCGCCAGGACTCACTCACTCGTATCACGTGCATACATCCGTGGACCATAAATAACATCGCAATTCAAACTTATAATTTACATTGATGAACAACCAAGATACAAAGCCTCAATATACCCAAACTGGTTTAAAGTGTGTACAATCCAAGTACAAATCATTCTACTCGAGTGATAGCGCGAGTACAAGTCAAAAGTCAAAACACTAGGCTACGCTAGTCTTTACACATCTCACGCCTCGCTCGTACCCCCTGTAAGGAAAATAAATAGCGTGGAATGAGCTAAAAGCCCAGTGAGGTTCCAAATAACAAATTGGCCAGTTTAAAAGTACAAGTTTTTGATATAGCAAAGTAACGAGCATGAAGAGTTCATAAAAGTGAGCCATAACACGTCGAGTAGTAATCTCATTTTATGAGCAATAACACTTCAAGTAAAAATCTCAAAATGAGCGAGTATAAAAGTTTTCAGAAGAAACAATAATCCGCTAAATAATAATCATTCCAAAACATAAGGATACGGATGGCTCTCAGGAGCCAACTTCCCATTTCATCATCAGGAGCATGATCACGTAATAGTTGACACTCCGTCAACTTTCAATTAAAGGAACCAATCCAGTAGAGCACCACTTACACTACTCTCCGTCCACCATTCAAACCCCCTACTGGGCCCAAAATCCTTAATAAACACGGGTGGTAATACTCGAGTATACCGATCAGTCGAGGAGATATCACTCCACTCGACAAAACAAGAGACCCAGGGTTCGTTACCCAATCGACCAAGCCCTTGCCGACTCGACTCGAGTAACTTGCCGCAGGGTTTCTGGAATTCCAGGAAGTGCGCACATCATAAACAAGTATATCAAATCAAGTGCAATAATAGACAAGTATATCTCACGTGAGGGCAAGTGCGATAAAGTACACTCTCGCCCTAACAATTCACGTATATAACATGTAATCACGTTGGTCACGTATCAAATACAAGTATCAAGTTCAATTCGGTATTTGAAAGCACTCACCAAAAGTAGTGCCTCTAGTGATCGTGTCTGGGTTGTACTCCGGGTTCGGAGTCCAAACCTGCGATAAAACTTTGTTTAAGAACTTTAAAAATCGACTAAGGTTCGAAACTTAGACGTTTTGTTCAATAAGAAGCAAGAATTGAAAATTCACTTGGAGAATATTCGTGAAACACTCACTCGCTTTTCAAACTATATAACTTTGTAACATTATACTTAGAAATATCATTTGAGTCAAAAGTACAAGGAAAACATACTTCGAACAGTCATTATTTTATTTCTCAAGGGTACAAGTGCGGCTAGGTTCTAACGTATAACCCTCGATAACAAAGTAGCCAATGTCCCAGATGGTTCAAGTGATATTCATTTCCCAACTTTACTCAAGTCGCAAGTATATTTCTCTAGTTCTCGAGCGTAAATTTGGGCAGCATGCCCTTTGTGTTTACCTAATTTTCCAGCCATTTTGGCTTCATTATTTTTCTCATTCAAACCCAAAGGCACACACACAACAATCTAACTTCAATAGCCATCCAATAGGCTCAAGACAGTACAAGGACAAAAATTCAAGTTAATAACAAGTGCAGAAATAAGCTTTAGTAAAAGACAGATTTGACGGATTTTTGCGGAAATGACACAACCGATACTACGCTTATCGGATCGAAGTGAAACTTATACCGTTTCGAAGATAAGACAAAGGCCTACAATGTTCATGAAGATCACTTAGTCCAATTTCCAGTGTAACCTAGGCAAATTCCCACTTTACAGAACCAAAATCCAACCAGTCGGCTAATCAACCGTACTACATTGAAATGGTCATATCTCAGGCTACCAAAGTCCGTTTAAGGCATTCTTAGAGGCGTTGAAAAGATAAGATAGAGTAATAAAACTTTTATGTTTTGGTGAATGGCTAAATCCAAATGGATTATAGTGAATAAACGCAATCAAATAGACTAAACTGTCCACGCGGAACACTGGAATATAACCTAGATCAGCGAGAGTATTTTCGTCTTTTCATAAGCTACGTTGCTCCGATTGAGCTGAAATTTTGTAGGTAACTATAAAATACCATTCTCTACAACTTTTATGTTTTAACCTAAGGCCAATTCGGCCTCTATCATGAGGCAACAAAACTGGACAGAAAGAGGGAAATTTTCCAGAAATCTGGAATTTGTTGATTTCAATGCAACCTTTCATGATTTCTTGCTTCACTTGCTACCAAAACCCTTATATAACCTTATATACAACATACACTAACTATACAACAAGTTTAGGCAGAAATTTATTAACCCTAACTTGCATATATCATCCCAAAAATCATCACATCCACTTGCATATCTTGTAATCAAGCCAAAACATGAACTAGATGACATCTTAAACCAAAATTTAAAAGAACAAGAACCATGATCAGATCTTATACCTCAAAGACAAAGCTTGGGAGAGTGATACTCCACCTCCTTTGGAAATTTTTTTTTTCCACAAGCTTCCCAACTCACAACCCACACTTTAATCGGTTTGGAATTTTGATTCTTCACTTGGTTGGTGCAAATCAAGAAGAAAATTGTTTTCTCTTGCTCTCCCTTTCTCTCTCCCTTGTTTCGGCCAAGCTCAAGGAAAAATGAAGAAGAAAGGCTGCTCTATGGTGATTAAAAAGACAAGAGGATTAGGATGAATTTAGGCCATAAGCTTGCCAACACTTGGCTCAAGCTCAACCACAAAAATTTTTCTCTTTCCTTGCATTTTTATGTCCCAATTTTCGGCCAAGAGATAGCCATGAGGGGGAAGATATTTTGCTCAATTAGTAATGAGCTTGTATGGTAAGAAAGTGGTGGTTAAATCGGTAATACACGATA